GGGGGCGTGCTCTTATGTTTTGCATGCCTTAGCGGTTAGACCATTGACCACGCGTCAACGAGATGACGGAGCATTGTTCCCACAGGACCGATCACCGATGAACAATCGTTCCTTTCTACTTTGCCAAAGGTGGCTCAAAAATGTCGTCCCTAGTCTGTCTATCCTAACGATATATCTTCCCGCCTTTTCAACCCACCTCCTATGCCCCAGTACAGCTACCGTCCTTTCCTCTCTATTCCATGCCTCATACATCTCCCTGTGCGTCCCATCTATTTTTCCCAGCTCAGCCACGTACACTTCCCTCTCCTTCTTGTACCACGGACATTCCGCAACTAAATGAACACCGTCTTCGCATTCGAAGCCGCAATCACATTTGAACTCGTCGTCTTCGTCGTCTATCGTCCTATGTCTTCGTCGACGTTCTCGAAGGCCCTATGTCCCCGGTCCTGAATTTGACCTTAAGCTTTGTTCCTGGATCCATTGGTTCATGTAGGCAATCCTTGAACCCTATTCATTCCTTCCTTCAACGTTCCGTAGATACACTTGTAGACCCTCCTTTTCCTTGGATTCTTTCCTTAGATTCTGTTCTTCTCTCTCGGCACAAGCAGCAGATATCTTCTCCTTGAACCCCCGTAGACCCTCCGTTTCCAGCGTTTCATCTTCGTCGATGTCGAGCCCCTTCCATACGTCCTCTACAACCTTGACCCATTCCGTGGGTTGTCTACCCCTCTTTTTGTTTGCCCACTTCGCCTCCCATACAATTCTCGGCAACCTCTCCTCTCCCATCCCGCACATGCGACTCTGCCATGTCAGCTTCCTCGCGTCTCTTCCCGACCGTAGGGATTTGTTGTGGGATTTGTACTCGCGTCACAATAGAGGCGAAAAGGACGCGAACCGTCGGATACAGCATCCCAATCCGGATTCACCAGAACAGGGGGGCTCGCGAGTTCTGGGACAAGTTGTCTGACGGCGGGTTCCATTGAATCCGTAAACTCAAACTTCACATTCTCTATCAGAAGAGTCGTAAGGGGGCGAACACGCTAAGCCATCTGTGGGAGGAGTTGCCGGTAATAGCTGAGACCACCCAGCAAAGCTCGAAGCTGCTCGGTGTCTTTGGGCATCGGCATCTTGGTGAGCGCAATAACTTTGTCATCATTTGGCCGAACACCGTCCGGAGAAAAAGTGTGCCCAAGAAACTCAGCTTCTGTGGCGCCAATTGTAGCTTTCGGAGGGGTGAGTTTCAAATTGTGTGTACGCAATCTTTCGA